TACAGTGATCCAAGCAGACTGACAGTAGAGCCTGGCAAAATAGGAGTGTTAATTCTCTAGGGAGCTGTCAAATTGTGCACTGTTTTTGAGGAAGGACCAAAGTTACAATCATTCTCACTGTAGAATTTTTTTTCTTTATTTTCCACCAACTCTACAGCATTCACAGTCATTCCCATGATATTAACGTTTGATGTATGGAAAAAGTGCCAGACTTTGAAAGGAATGGGATTAAAGTATCAGGAAAAAATATCGGTTGCTGTATATTTTGGCTCATGGTGATAGAGAAAAGCCTTCAACGTCCTGGCAGTTTCATGATGTTTGTTTTTATATTTCTACAAGAGAGATATTTTTACAGTGGTGAAGACATTCTCTGTGGCATTAAACACATTGTGTCTAGAAGCGGAGGGGTTTTGTGATTTACATTTCTCAATTATCAATATACTAATGAACAATCTCTGTGAATTAATATGGGTTGACCTTTAAGCATTTGCCATTACAGAGTCATCTGCAGGGTTAGGGCAACATCATGGCTGTCAGCGTGCTTGCAAGTTAGCCTGCAGTTAGGTTGTAAAGAACACCTAAAAATGCAGTTGAATTATGTGAAACTTAACTCTTGATTATTCAAAACTTTCTTTTTTTCTTTTAATAAACAAAGAAATTTATTTCCTCCCCTGATTAGGCTCTAATTCAAATCTATTTCCAGGTGGTCTTGTTATAGAATAGGTTCTCACTGTAGATTCTGCATTCAACAAAGAGATTTTGTTGAGACAAAATGTTTTTTTGACATTTTTTCAGTCATATTTTAGAGCAAAGTTTGGCCTTCCAGTATTTCTGCTGTAGTTTAGAGGATGGAACTGGAGACAAGCATGTGAATGAAGAGTAAATAAGTGGTAGAGAACATGAGTGCTGTTACAGTGAAGCTTAATGGAACTTGCATGTTTCATTTCATAAATAACTCAAACAGTTCAAATTTTGCTTACCTTGCACATAAGAAAAAAACCTAAAACCCAAATAATTTTATAATTTCATGGGAAGAAAAAAAATTGAGAATTTATAGTTTTAATGTCAGAAATATGAAACTTAAAAATGTTAAAAGTTACTTTTGTTATGAGTTTTCCATAATTTCATTCAGATGTTACGGGATAATATCAATGTATTCTTCCTACTAATCACTATGCTTATTTTGCCCCCAAAAAAGCACAGCAGATAGGTGATACTGTTTAAAAAACAGAACAAAACTCCCAAGAAAACCAAAACCATTTTTCTTCTCTAGAGACAATGTCTTTTGGTTGTGTTGCAATAAGACAGAATGAAATTTAGGCTTTTATATTTGGCTTTTTTTCCAACAATTTTAAACAAAGATGATTTTCTTCAAAGGGAAATATTTTTCCCAAACAGCCTGACAACCACTGGTTTGCCAAGCAATTATTTAAAATTCCAGACATCCCAGATACAGCAAATCAAGGAATGTGTTTGATGTTTTCCAAATAGACTTGTTTAAAATCAAATCATAATAGGTTAGACTAGGAGCACTTACTTAAAAATGAGCCCTGAGCAGCCTTGGCCTGTTTTGTTTTATTTTCCAAGTGAAAGGCTTGGAAAGTCAAGGAAACAAACTTTTTTATTCTATCCACATATTCTCCTTTGATACTTCAAGCACGCGAGTTATAACTTGTATCCATATATTAATGAATATGTTAATTTTAAAGTAACAAAGAGATCCAACATCAGAAGAGAAATGTTTAGGAAAATAATCAGGAATGTTTAACATGCACAGTAGGGTCTTTCTGTATATTGGAAGCAGCGCGTAGACTCTGAAAACACTCATCAAGAAAACTGGAAGATAATCCTTTGTAATAGCAAATTAATCAAGTAGACAAAAAACATTTAAGGGTTTTTTTCCCTCTGATATGATTTTTTTTTTCCTCCCAGTATTATCTTGTGTCTGACTTATTGTTTTCCAGTGTCTTTTGCTCTCCTCTGTAGCTGGAAGATGCCCTTCTGCTTTTCTGTTGAAGTTTAGGCATTTGTGCAGACTAGCTCTCTAGGAAACTGTCCTCCTTCCTTCTGTTTGAATCTATGTGAGATAATTCATGCATTAATTAGAAATATTTCAAATTTGTTGAGGTTTTGAGTTTTGCCTTTGAAATGTGTTTCAAGTACGAACAGGGGTGGAATTCAAATTTCCACATTCCTTGCATGCATTATTATGGCTAAACATCTTTAAATTTGACATAATAAATACATAAAAATCTATTTATTTTGTTTCTCAGACCCAAATAATTACTACCACAGAAGAAATGAAATGACAACCACAGATAATCTGGACTTTAAGCATCACAACTACAAGGAAATGAGGCAGGTAGGCAAAGAGGCTGGAGCGTGACCTCTCGGATGGAGCGTGGATGGGTGCAGGTTTTTGATCTTTCATGGCATCTGAACCCTACATTGTTAAAAATATTAAACAGTATCTGAAATCTGATTAAATTTTTTTCCCCCAACTTTATCTGTTAAAAGAAGTAATCTATCAAAATCCCAAAGTCTTAATTTGTATATCATTTAACCTAAAACAGGTGACTGCATGACAGAGGGAGTATTTAGACATAATGTGCCATCGTTTTTCTTCCATGTATATCGGAGTGGTGAATGTTAGTGGTTTCTCCTTTCAGATTTGACCCTGACTTAGACATCAGAGTTCTCCTATATTTCAGATGGCTGAAAAAATCTGAATAACCTATATAGAGTTCAATTCTGTTTTCACAGTTGTGAAAATCAATCAAAATACACCAAAAAACCCACTAGAAAAAAAATCTTGTTAATATAATTTTAAATGTACCATCCACCTTATTCTTGTTCTTTTAGCTTCAAACAGGCAATCTTGTTGTTGTTTCTGTTATTGTTTTTAATCTTGCTTCATTTCACCACAGGTATAAGTATGGGTTGTCCTAAAGAAATATTTCTGCCCACTTTGTCTTCAACTGTAAAGTTAATATGTTTGGACTTGAAGTGTGTGAATCATTTGCTGTGTGATGAATTTTCAGTGTATTTATACTGCATGAATCACCATTCATTTTTATTGAGCAATTGTGTACTGAGTCACACATTTATTTCGGTAGAGATTTCATGGCCTATATTTCTTAGCACAAAGATTAGACAAGTAGAAACTCAATTGGCATAATTACTGTCAAGAACAATAAAATGTATTTTACATTCCTGTTGTAGAAAGACAGGTTGGTCAGGTTAGAAATACCTTCAGGAAAAAAGTGCAGCTTTAAAACAGAATGTTTTTCCACTTTTCATGTAAGTAGAAAACTTGCCACTGTGGCTGAGAGCTTGTCAGATGTGAACTGGCTTTGACTGTTCTCTCCCAGTTTCTGGTTCTCTATTTGTCAAAGTATTGGATTTATTTAGAGCTTATTGGGTTCTACTTTGGTTCTGCAGCTGGTAGGCAGAAGATTGTGGATTGGGTTGCAACAAGTCTTCCATCTCAAAAACTGTTCTTAGAACTTCATAATTTCTTTCCTGAGTGGAAAATGGAAAAATAACTGTTGATATCTGGAGTTAATTTAATTTAAAAAGTATATATATTGTCACTATTATTGTCAGTTTTGTTATCTACTTCACTGCCAACCATCATAGAAAAACCCTGTTCTTTGAAGTTATTTATCATGAATACTGACAAAGGAGAAAGAAAGGGTGTTCCCTGAGCCATGTTTTGGAAGCATCACATTACATTGTAATATGTCAAGTATTTGTGAGAGGGAGACATTTTATCAGTGCTGGATTATTCTAATAGAACTCTCTGTTTAGGAAGATGGAGTTTATAGTACTAATAAGAGTACATCTAGCACATATAAGAGCAAGTAGTGATAGGACAAGGGGGAATGGCTTTAACCTGCCAGAGGGGATTGAGATGATTGAGACTGAGATGAGCTCTGAGGCAGAAGCTCTTCCCTGTGAGGGTGCTGAGGCGCTGGCACAGGGTGCCCAGAGAAGCTGTGGCTGCCCCATCCCTGGCAGTGTTCAAGGCCAGGTTGGACACAGGGGCTTGGAGCAACCTGCTCTAGTGGAAGGTGTCCCTGCCCATGGCAGGGGTTGGAGCTGGATGAGCTCTATAGGAAGCTGCTAAACTGGTTGATAAATATCCCCAGAAATAGTTTAATATGGATAATTGAGTGCAACCTCGACTTTGAAACAACAAACCCAGATCATATCTTTCTTAGGAAATGGGAGTATTAATTTTTAAATCCATACAACTGGATGCAATGCCAGGTTGACAGTTTCTATCTGATAGTCTCCAACCTCAAGAAGGAGGTATTTTCTGTTTTGGCTGACAGCAGAATAAGAAATACAGACATCTTGGCAGTGTTAGGTTAACAGTCAGACTTGATGATCGTAAAGGTCTTTTCCAACTTAAATGGTTCTTTCATCTCTAGAGGCCATAGAATAGCCCTAATCTGAAAGGCATTGACTGAGAGCCCTTTTGCTTCCTCTATGTGTAGATGGCACTTAGATCAACATTTATTACACCTCTTCTGCAAAATGAAGGAATTGGACCTTCAGAAACCAGTTTTACATGGCTTCTTTAAAGGCTGCATGCAGTCATTTTCTAGGGTGCTAATAAGGTAAATAATTGGTAGTGACAAACAAATAGGAACTGTCAAATAAGAACTGTTAGCGAATGTAATTGTGAAAGTGTTTTACAGTCCTGCTGGTCGTTAATAAAGCCCTGAGTGACTGTTATCATCAATTGTCTTTGACAGTTTGTACAAAGCGCAAAGAAAACACTGTGACATTTCAGGTGACCTATTGTGCCGGTTGTAGGAAATGGGTATGAGAAAAGCAGAGATGAAATATGTTCATTTTCAGTACTGTATTTACATATAAACATCCAAATGCATTGCTATATCCATACTGTTATCAAAAGAGCCACAGTCAAGTCTACTACAGAAGCCCTATTTCAGGAAAGGTTCTTTGTTTGAACAAAAGTAATCACATGATTGCAATTAAAGAGGTGATGGGGAGTTTACTGAGGCCAATAGAAATATTTCCACTGACTAGTATAATTTGAACTTGATTCTAGGCATTTTTCTTGCTTATAATGAACTTTTAACATGCTTTTAACTGCTTTCCTAAATTGAAGTTCTTGGTATCCTGTGCGCACTGCAGTGACTAGCATGTTAGGAAAGCTTCTGTTCTGCAGCTTAATTTTGGAGACAGCTCTGAGAGTACGGGCTCAAGCTCATCTTCCCTATTTCATATCCTGGGGAGCTGCAAGGATGCAGTGATACATCAGCCAGGAGGGAGTTTCCTGCGGTTTGAAGAGGTTGTATGGAGAGGAATTAGTAAACATATGGCTGAAACAATAACATTATTTATACATTACAGAAAGCCAGTTTAACCTCCTACAGTAGACCTTCTTTTAATGCAATATCTGTACTCATTGGCAGAGTGAAAAAATAATATTTATCTCTATTGGAGAAAAACACGGTATCTGATCCAATAATAATCCTTTTCATTTAGTTGCCAGAAAGACATAAACTAATAATCTCCATGCAGTGGACCTTGGCTAAGGTTTGTTCTGTGAGACTTTAGCAAGAGGTCCATAGCTCCATATCCATCAATTGTATTTTTGGTTCATTAAGAGCAGGTTGACCACAAGGATTTAGGGCAGTGTGTCTCAAAAAGTTAGTAAATAACTCGCTCATCTCAAACACTAGAAAATGTGAGTGTTCTCTGGTTTCAGCTATGTGTTTCAGCTGGAACAAATGATGACATACGCACTTCTGCGTGCCCAGAACCTTATGAAGGGTTCCATGGAGATAGCTGGGTATCCCATAATACAGCACCCTGACGATGATGACAGTGCTGAAGAAAACCCTAGATATGAAACTAAACAATATGCTGAAAGAGCAGAACTGACCATGCTTTTTAAACAAGTGCTGAGTTTCGATTTCCAAAAGAAATTGTTTCTCACATGTATAAAACCAACATGTGAGATGAATAAACATACACAAATAGCATCTTTTCAGTCTCTTTGCGACATGATTATAAATAGAAGTGAAGCCTTTTATGAGAGGAATTTTAATGATCTTCTTCCCAATGTGAATTGTGCTTCCACTTAGATTTGCTAAATGGTGGCATGGGAATCAGACACATCTAATTATTGTATTTTTTTAAATCATCAGCCTTATGATCATCCAATATTGTTTCTAAATGAACCCTATGTGAGCAAAGAGTTCTGCTGTGCTACAGCATTTCTTCAATAATGTATGCTCCCTTGTTTATGCAAAGATTGTCTAATTAATAGTCCCTAGGGTTCCAATTTACAGGAAAGTCCTTATTTGATTAATGCCTTCCAATGAATAAAAATGGAGACAGATAAATTCTTGTAATTTAAAGCTATTCACAGCAACTTCTTCTTCTTAATACAGAGATTTCCAGTCTTTTTTGTAAATTTTAACATTCACCTGAAATGCCACAGTAAGATGTTCGTGTCCTTACCTGGATGACATCTATGTTACTCCATTGATTTAAACAGAACTATACCCTTAACCACGACCTCCCCCATGCACTTCAGTAAGCACTAAGGCTATTTGGTTATGTTTTGACTATGTCATGCAGCATCTGCAGAAAAAAGTGGATAGATTTTGATGGAAGGAATTCTGTTTTGACAGGCTGTTGGCATTTCCATTATTAATTCTATTTTTTTGGCTGAAACTTAGTAAGCAAATTCTGGGGAATCTGTTATTTACTGAAGGAGTACATCCTGCTGTGTTTATGGAGTCATCCAGATTTTATCTATTTCCCTATTTTATCCTCATGCCTTAACTAACAATTTTCCCATATGAGACTTTCCATTGTAATAGGAGAAGGGTGGGCTTGGTTTCTACCTCAGTTGGAGGTAGGTGTAATCAGAATTCACTGGGATAATAGTGTTTAAATGGATGACATCCTTCTCTCTTTGTTTTAAATTGCTACTGCCTAGGGGAAAAGGAGGGAGAAATCTCTTTCACTGGGCAGTGTCTGTGGCAACCTGCAATGCTCACACATCGCCATGCCACTAACACCATGGGCCGTCTCAAATCCCCTAGCTTTAGTATGCACAGAGTATGAAGAAAGGAGTGTTAACGTAGCTAACTATTCTCCATTTCATAATGTTTTTGAGATGTGATTTACTACTTCTTGATGGTAAATTAGTATGGTTTTGCTGGTTTTATTCCTCTTGGACTTCCCTCTCATGTCCTTAATTTTCCTTCTCATGTCTTTGTGAGAATATTACAAATACATCTCATAAGAAAGACCCTGAACCTCACCTGCACTGTGGTGTTTCAACAGACAGGATTCAGCTTGCTCCAGGTGAAAAAGTTTTATGTTGTGTCATAGCAGAGCCATAAATTCATTAAATAAATGTAAAGCTTTTACAACTATGAAAAAAATAAGAAAATTAAGAGGTTTTTTCCACAACCAATTTGGAATGAAATAATTAACAGTGGATCTATTTTGATGCTGCACTTTCTAACTATATGTCTTTTTTTTTTTGTTGGCAGCTGATGAAAACTGTGAATAAAATGTGCCCAAATATCACAAGGATTTACAATATTGGAAAAAGCAACCAAGGACTAAAGCTGTATGCCGTCGAGATTTCTGACAACCCAGGAGAACACGAAGTTGGTTAGGATTTAGTTTAAGTAAATCTGTTGAAGGGTGTTAGGATTTAGCTTCCCCCCCCCTTTTCTCTGTATCTGCAGTAATTATCACTGATGGAATTATATTCATGGCTGCAAAGATTTCAAATGTGTGTAGGAGGAACTTCAGTGCTGTATTTCTAAATTGGGAAGAGGAGGGTGAGCACAAATAGAAGGCATTTTGAATGTGGGATCGAATTCTTTAATGATAATGAGTTTTATTCTTTACAATAACAAAATAAAAGTGAGCTTTAGTACTGGAGAATGGATTTTAGTTGTGGGGGTTTATGTATCTTTAGATAGAAATTTACCTTTTATATATGGGATGAATGCATTGAAAGCAAGGACAGGTCAAATCTCCCAAATCGTCTCTCGTTGGTCAGTGTTGGCATACAATTTCCTACGTTGCTATAATTCTTCAGAATAGAAGCTCATTTGATCTTTTGTCCATTTGTGGAGAAAAATAAAGATCTCACTACAATAGAGCCTGAGCTAAATGTTGGAATAATGATGTCTTATGCTTTGCCATGTCCATAAATATCCTGATATCTGTCCCACACAAGGAAGTCAGTAGACTTGGGGCTGATGTTAGACTGCAGCCTCTGAATCTCAGATGTTAACACCAGAATAATTCATCTAATTTGCTTTGTCCACTTACCTGTTTTTGAGAGTCCTGCAGAAAACATGCGAGGAATGTATCATGGGTCCAGACAAACTGGGAACGTGGATTCAGCCACAAGCCATAGCTTGGGCAGTCAGGGTCTCTCCTGTTGATGTTTGCACGTGTTATTCATACAAAGGACAACTAAAATATGGGTCTTTTTTTACTAGCTGACACTATTCCTGGTCACGTCTGAAGTATTTTGTAGTTGAGTGCAAGTATTGTGGCATTATTAGTGAGGAAAAGGGGTGAGTGAAGTCAGAGATCAATTATGTACGGTTACCTGCTGTTATCTTTTAAGAGCCTTGACATCTGTCCCAAAGAACTACTGGCAATGTGATTTTCATGCTATTTTTAGACTATCAGAATATTTAAAATCTACCTGTAACATGGTGAAATTGTGAATATAATTAAAAATCTGTTTAATGGAAAGTGGGGTTTGGAGGTTTTACACAGTAGCTTTAGATATCACTGATACGTAATCTGTTCTTCTATAATAGCAACACAAAGTAATTACTTCTTTATGGTCATCTATAATTTCTTCAGTTAATACATTTCTCCCGCTCTCTGTAAGCAAAATGATGCTGATTGACTTCAATGAAATTTGGTTAGATGTTTGATTTCCTGCTCTGACTACACTTTCTCCTCCATGTGTTTTTACCAGGTGAACCAGAATTTCGGTACATTGCAGGAGCTCATGGGAATGAAGTGCTTGGACGTGAGCTAATCCTTTTGTTAATGCAGTTTATGTGCCAGGAATACCTGGCTGGGAACCCACGCATTGTACATCTCATTGAGGGTACTAGAATCCACCTTCTGCCCTCAGTCAATCCAGATGGATATGACAAGGCATATAAAGCGGTAATATGATTATTTGATCAATGAAACACTCTCCTCTTGTCTTGTTTTCTTTTTCAAAGGTCATATTTTACAAATAGTCAAAATTTAAAAATAATCACATCAAATCAAACATAAAACACTGAAGCATTCAGAAAGAAAGCTGAAAGAAACAGGATTCTATGTGACACTGGCTAACAGGAAGGTGTGTACGGAAAGGATGGTCACAATGAATGCCAAAACAAACCATACTGAGGTGTATAGATCATTGGGAACACCATTATGGAAAATGGAAAATTCATGCAGTCTGTTTCTCATGAGAAACCAAGCTAAGCACATGAAAATTCGCATTCCTCTGCAGCTGAAACTTAATAGTGTGTCTTTAAGGAGAGCACAATGTGTTGGGCATCGTAATAATTCAGTCTCGAAGAAGACAGACACCATGAGGAAAAGTTGCAGGGACTGGTCAAATGTACTGGTAAATCTTCCAAGGCAGTCTGTAGAAGACTGGAATACAGAAGTTACAACCATGGAAGGGAATATATGTTATCTCCATTGCCACTCAGGGGAAAAACAGTCTGAAATAGAAACCACAACAATTAGGCTAACGCCAAGTAATTTTTCATGGGTTTTGCTTCACTTCATTTAAAGGTTCATATAAAATCAAAATATGCCAATTATTCATTTCGGTTAAATAATTCATCCTTCCATTTCTCTGTATAGAATTAGCTCTGGCACATCCCCAAAGACTTTGCTGAAGGCTCACATGTTTTTTTATTCTCAAATGAACATTTATCTTTTTTTTCCCTTTTTCTTTGTTTTTAATCTAAGGGTTCAGAATTAGGAGGCTGGTCTTTAGGACGATGGACTCAGGATGGCATTGACATCAACAATAATTTCCCTGATTTAAACTCTTTGCTCTGGGAGTCAGAAGATCAGAAGAAGAGTAAAAGAAAAGTTCCAAACCATCACATCCCGATCCCTGACTGGTACCTGTCTGAAAATGCCACTGTGAGTAAAGCCAGAGAGAAGGAGCACAAAGGCTGGGGCATGTTGAAAGGCTGAGCTTCACATTTCTCAGTGAATCTGTAACTTGCAAATGAAATTACATACATGATCTAAACTGCTTGGCTAGGCTTCCTTATTAGTCAATGGAAATAAAAATGCACCACAAAAGTACTATTCACCCCCATATTTTAGAAGCAGCTAAAATGGGAAGGAAACTGCTTCCTGGAGGATTTTCTTTTCCCTCAGCTGTTGTGAGAACCTGGACGACTTGATACCCGTCTTTTAGGCATCAACATGTAGATAAACTACTGCCAGGCTCAGTCCTGTGAATCGGGCTTCTCCCTAGTTTTGCAGCATAGATGAGCTCTTTGCAAACTCAGTAGCCATAAAGAAGTCTCCTGGGGGGTTCTTATTATTTTTGTATTTGAAATGTATTCTTATCTGAAATAACAGCAACTGCTGAGGCATACACAAAACCAATGCAGTGGCTTATGCTAAAGTCATTTATTGGATTGCAGTGCCAAAAATTTAACTTATTTTTGCATGGCCTTTTAAATATAATGGCAATTATTTATAGTGGCTGAGATTCCCCCAGTTTGAGAGGAACTGTTGCAGTGCTGTGGGCTTTAGAAAATACTTCCATGTTTAAACTCCCCTGCTTTAAAAACTCATTTCAGCTGATGGCAGAGAGAAGCAGTGTCAGGATCTGACATTTCTGTTGGTTGCTGCTCTTGACCTCACTCTACATAGGTGTTTCTGCTGCATAAATTACTAATATATTAAGGTTTTGATAGGTTTTATGTGTTGTCAGACACCTCCAAGGCAGGGCTGTTCAAGCACCATAATTTGAAGAAGCCTTTTTCCTTGACTGCATCTCTTGTGCTGACTGGTCACTCAATGCTAAGAAACTCACAGCAGGTCTCCTGCATCTGGTCTGCCTTTGATAGAAGATTATCCAGTGTCACAACTTGAATCAAAGCTGCTGTTTCTTTTCCTCCCAGGTGGCAGTGGAGACACGGGCAATAATAGCATGGATGGAAAAAATTCCTTTTGTGCTGGGTGGCAATTTGCAGGGAGGGGAGCTGGTGGTGGCGTACCCCTATGATATGGTGCGATCCATGTGGAAAACCCAGGATTACACACCTACCCCAGATGACCATGTCTTTCGTTGGCTTGCATATTCCTATGCATCCACGCACCGGCTGATGACAGATGCGAGGAGGAGAGCATGTCACACTGAGGATTTCCAAAAGGAGGATGGCACTGTTAATGGAGCATCCTGGCACACCGTGGCTGGAAGTAAGTGTCTGTAGAAACAGCAGTTAGCATTACCTTACTAAATAGGATAATACCATCACTGCCTGGTGCACATTGCAGAGGTAATGGTGGTAAGATGTGTCTTAAGAGGAATATTTCCCTATCTGAAAGTCTGTTTATTTCATCAAGTATGAGGATTGAAGGAGACTGTGTCACTAGTACCTGGTGACCATTTTGTTTAAGGCTGAGGTTTCAAAAGACCACATGCAATACATTAGTTTTACATATTCCATACATTCAAGATGGTTTGTCAGGAGAAAGCCAACCCAGTCCAAACCCACCAGTGGGGGGAACCTGTCAGCCTTTGCCATCTCACAAGGTGCCAACAGAAAACTGCTGCTGAAGATGAAAGGTGTAACCAGTGTCAGAGCTCCACTCAGAGATTCCAGTGGTACTCAGATAAGAAAATAATGAGTTCAGCCTCCTGCTTGCTGAACTCAGTCATAGATTCAATCTGAACTGTAAAAACATGCCACAAAAAGCTGCTCTCCAATTTTTAAATGATCTGGACATCCTTACACTTAAACTTTGCATGGGCTCCATACACATTTCTGCTGCGAGGACAAATTACAGGCTGCATTATTCAACATATGCCCAAGCCTTCACCCTGTTAAGGAACACGAAAGGGAAGTTGTGTCCTGTAGTGCAGACAAAGCATCAGTTTCCAGGAAAGCCTGATTAGAAGCACATTTTTAACAGCAATAGGTATGGTTACCTCTGTGAGTGAACACTTGGAGCAGACTCATAATCAGGCATTTTGCTGGTCGTCACAATCCTGCTCAAACTCTTTGTTTGATATAAGCCCATCAGTTAGACAACATATTCTATGACATTAAGAAATGAGATGTGTGTCTCCCATCACTTGAACGACAATAGGAACAACTGGGGCAGTAATGGCAAACAGATGCAAGTGAGTGTCTGTGCAGACCAGGTTTTATTGGAGCTGGCTTGTGTTTGTAACTTGCAGGTAGTTTTACTGCATAAACATTTCTAAGTTTTGGATATGGCTTTTATGGCTTTTATGTTGGCCCCTGTAAAGTTAATCCTGGCCAGTCTTTAAAGACTAGAGCCAGGAACGAACTTCTCAAATATTTCTTCAGGAGGTTAAAATGCGCAGGGTGAATCTGGGGGGAAAGATTGAACTCTTAGATCCCAAGGCCAATGCCTGACAATGCATTTCTTCAGCTTTCTGCTAATTCCCAAAAAAAACCCTCTGAATGCTACCTTCTCAATTATCTCTTTTATGAGTTTAATTTTCCTAAGTGTTATAAGAAACATGATTATGAATTGATCCAGAAAAGAAGACATTGACCATGTCACTAACAACTGTCACACTGTTACACTAAGTAATGATGTACAATATAGATGCTGAGTAGTATCTTGATTTCTTACTAACAATTACATATTGACTTTCGTTCTTCTGATTTGTCTTATTGATTTATAATATTTCTTAATATACTTTACATCCTGCTCTCTTACATTAAGACTTCCAAGATTGTGTCTGAGAAAAATGTTGGAATGTTGCTTTTACTTTCAGTTCTTTACACCTTGGACTCCAGACTTCAACCTCAAAAGATGTGGCCTCCATTTGAGCTCAGTCTCCAGCCTGTAGGATAGTTCTAGACTTCTTGTCTACTTAGACAAATGCAAGAGTGATTTGTATTGCAGATGTATATATATGCATACATATATATGTATGTCAACTGATAGTTAACCAGTGGCGCTTACACTGTAAAACCAAATAGAATTCCAGAATTGAAGACAGATTTAACCTATATATTTTCACTCTGTAATTCCATGACTATACAGATATAGTTTTTTTTCACTCCACTTTTTCTATTTCTTTACCTTTCAGATAAACATGTTAACACTTTCTTCTCCTAAACCCTGACTTGCTTAAGCAAGCTTAACCTGAAGGTGACACCCCAATACGCTGTTTGTAGAATGCCCTTTGATGTGGGTGCCTTCTCCTTGCTGTGACATAACTTGAATGCACCCATCCTCTCCTCATCCACCTGCTACCTGGCCTTGCAGTGATCATACACATAAACTTTTCACTACTCATGCCATGGGAAAATCTATATGGGATTTTTCTAATTCCTTTTGAGCACCAGAGAGTCTCTAGAGTAGCATTTGCACCACAGATATCTTGCACAAACACCTCTGTATTGCTTTGAAACTCAGCCATGCCATATCCTGCACGTATTTTGGACTGCAATCAATACAAGTTCTTTAGCAATTTTACATGTAACATTTCTGTGCTGGGCAAACTGCACAAAGGCAAAGAACAGATGAAGTTTGTTTTATTTCCAGTGTTTTCAAGGCTGTATTTGCACGTTCAGACACTTCACAGGGAGTTACTCTTGGCAATGTTAAGCTATTTTCTTAAATACACGTATTTAAACTGAGCAATTACTGTGTATTGCAAAACATTTCACAACAGATTAATCAGGATGTGATACATTATGTGAGGGGAAAATAATTATGCCTGTTTCTCAAATAGAGGGGAAACATGTTTATGCAGAGTAGCATATGCCACTGACTGATATTCAGACTTTCCACATCCACAAAACTGAACAATTTAACATCTGCATTATACAATCCTCCTGCTCCTCATCCAGAAGGCGTTGACGGCTCATTAAATACCTGACTACTGCTCTATGGTAACTGCATAGGGTTAGGGAGCTTTTTAACTCTTCTTAATCAGAAGCACTTGGTGAATGCATTTTCTGCTAATTTTTGCCATTTAAAATACAAATAATGATCGTAAGTAAATATGTTTTAAAATATTTTTATTGTTAGAAATGCAGGTGGAATAGGAAATGAATCTCACATTATTTCTTCCTCTGGTGTTCGTGTACTTATGTTATCTGTGTGATTGTGAAGAGCTAATAAATGGAATTTCCTAAGGAACAAATGATTGTGAGAAATGAGAGAGAAACCCAGAGAATGGAAATGTTTGAGATCTTTATCTAAATACAGACTACCTTAGTGCTCAGGACCTTTGCAAAGGTCACAGTGCTTTCTGTAAGGTAGACTTAAACCTCAGCTCCTCAGAGGTCAGAGGCACTGAGCTTCCTGGGTTTTGATTAGGACATATTTCTAATGGAAATCCCTGTTGCAGCATAACAGTGCAATTCCAGTCCTCTACAAAGCCATAATATGGTGTGCTGGGTTTGGCTGGGGTAGAGTTAATTTTCTTCACAGTAGCTGGTATGGGGCCATGGTTGGATTTGTGCTGTTTAAACGGTGTTTATCACACAGGGATGTTTTTGTTATTGCTGAGCAGTGCTTGCACAGAGTCAAAGGCTTTTCTGTTCCTCACCCCACCAGTGAGGAGGCTGAGGGTGCGCAAAGAATTGGGAGACACAGCCAGGACAGCTGACCCTAGCTGACCGCAGGGATATCCCACTCCATATGGCATCATGCTCAGCATATAGAGCTGAGGAAGAAGGAAGGAGGAGAGGGAGATGTTCAGAATGATGGCATTTCTCTTCACAAGTTCATCAATAGAATCCTAGACTGGTTTGTGTTGGAAGGGACCTTAAAGCTCATCCAGTTCCAACCCCCTGCCATGGGCAGGGACACCTTCCACTAGAGCAGGTTGCTCCAAGCCCCTGTGTCCAACCTGGCCTTGAACACTGCCAGGGATGGGGCAGCCACAGCTTCTCTGTGCCAGCATCTCACCTCCCTCATAGCGAAGAATATCATAAAAACTTTATCTGGAATGACCTTGTTTGTTCATTTGTTTTCTGCTAAATCTCTGTTTTCTTTAAGTTTAGTGATAGCAGAAGGACAGTATTTTTGGCAAAGGAATTGGGGTTGTGGTACTGGGTTGACACAGTGCCCCATGGTGCTATGGTGTAATATTATATCCTCTGTTTTGAATGTGCTGATGGGATGCTGTCTTTAGAAAGTCTTGTTTTATTAAATGTATAGCTCTGATGTTATTCTGATCCTTTGCTACAGAAGATGTAGCATTTCTAAAAATCTTTTGCCCCGCCATGTCTGCAGACTAAGCCAGCTCTATGAATAGTTTGTGTTTAAGTTGTGTTACTTTGCATAAAAATATCAGGTCTGATCAACAGATTAAAAGAAGTTATAAAATAATTTCTTTTTTACTCCCTGTTGACAGGCATAAATGACTTCAGTTATCTGCACACAAACTGCTTTGAGCTGTCCATCTACGTTGGCTGTGACAAGTATCCCCATGAAAGCGAGCTGCCTGAAGAATGGGAAAACAACCGCGAATCCCTGATTGTTTTTATGGAACAGGTATTTGACATAAGAGTAACTTCTGAGTAGTTTGATGACTCCCTTCAGACTGAAAGGGATTTTGAGGTTACTGATATTTTTCTTGTATAACTAATTGCATGATTATTGGTATTTGTGATGGAAACCTCAGCTACAAGCAATACTAGCGTATCACTTCAGCCAGGCTGTTTTGACCTGGGAGAATAAGATAATGAAGCTTGTTAAAACTTGATGTAAGTGCAGAGCTTGCTACAAAGGACTGCCAGAAAAACCCTTATGTCTGCTGCTTTTTCTGCTTGCTTTATCTACTTCTTGAATTTGATATCTCAGGAATCCTACCAGAATTTGTAAGCTGATTCACAAGTAGCTAATGTCTAGAAAGCTGATACTGGGTTAGTAATGATACTTCAAAATTGTGTGTAAACCATAATATATGTAATTGACATGTGGAGTTAATGATTTAATATCTTCTTAACAATAGTACTGTTTGTTGCTGTGCAATATTTGCTTGTTTATTTTTCCAATAGGTTCATCGGGGCATCAAAGGCATAGTAAAAGATGCGCATGGAAAGGGAATCCCAAATGCTGTTATTTCAGTAGAAGGTGTTAACCATGACATTCGCACAGGTAAAAAAAACCAACTAACCAAACAAACAATCAGTGCAAATGAACAGATTTAGTTTAAAAACAAAATACAGAACCTTATTGCAACTCTGAACTCTTCTGAGCAAAGCCAGCAGATAGTATTCAGTCCAAGGAGAACGTTGCAGGAGTGGTAACAGGACAGGGTTTGCATAAGGGCAGAGTCACTTCTTCCCATGCTGTAGCTGTGAGAAGAAACTATGGTTTTCTTCTCTACCCCTCTTCCTCTTTCCACCTCTTTCAAAGCATTGAGGAAATAGCCTTTTATCTGCCAAAAACCAATAGCCTGAGAAAGGCTGAATCTATAACATTCTTATTGCTCCTTTTCTCATGTAAAGATAGTGCAAATCAGAGTAATTGTAGCCCTGAAAACCAAGGGTTTAGATAAGGCCTTGTTGGGTGAAGAGCATTCCTCTGGCTGTTAACAGTTTTAAGACTCTGAATATGTTGGAGGTGTAATTTAGAGCTGTGTCCAGAGGAGAGCTATTGCAGGGAAAGACGAGTTTCACAACCTGAAGAGCATCACAGCTCCTGTAAAGCAGCACAGCTTTATAAAAGACCATTTAATTAGGGGTCAGTAGAAACACTACTTTGCACAGGTGAATTTCAGCCCAGAGTATGTATAGTCTAAAAAAATAAATGCTGTTTGCTATGTTAGCACAATTTTGATCTACGCCCAGACACAGGTATGTACGCTCAGAGTCAACTCTAAGCCTATTGAATGGCCTGGAAAGTAGTTATGGCACTAAATAAAGAACTGCTTTAAATAGACACTAGTCAATTACAAGATTAATAGTAATATCTGAAAACTGTTGTTTGTAGGCACCAGTTGGGATAGAGCCCAATACTCCTTGTGTTTGTGTACTGTGATTTAAGACACACAGTCATCCTAAAGGGAGAAACAACAGAGGGGATACAGCAAGGAAGGAAGCATGAATAGCAACAGGAGATGTCAGCAGGAGTCTTTAGTGTACTCCAAGTGCTGGTTGCAAGAGGTTAACAAGCTTTCTGATGGATGTTAATGGAAAAGTAGCATCATGGTGACTAATCAGACAAATCGTGTTACATATTCCAGATTTGGTTCAATATTAGAAAGAGGAACACTAATTTTATGTCATTTTTATATCCTGACTGGCATTCTGGGTCTTTCATTTGCTGCCACTTCAATGTGCTTTGCTGCTGAGGTACAGTACAGCATGCTTTGACAGGTAAACTGATTTCAGACTATGGAATATCATAGAGCTTTAGATGAAAGACTTCCAAATCTTTAATGTTTGCTACAGTAGATTACCTGAGCCAATAATAAGTCTTGGAATATCTAACTTAGTTTATGATTAACTTTATTTCAGTGCTACTCTGTCTCTCTTGTAAAAGAAAACATTGAACGACAGTTAATTAGGCAATTATGATTCTGCCTTAAATATTTCAAAATGGGACCACTGGGAAATAATAGCAGGAATTAGAGTAATCAGTTGTTTTTCCTCATTGTGGAAGTCTTGGCAGTCTTGAAAGACTGCCGTAAATTGTAGTTTGCATTACCCTGTTAACAAAATTAATATATGTCTCTGGTTGAGGCTGAGTAAATGCAATAGGTGATTAACCTCCAGCTTTCAGTACGTTGGATTGCCACATGGAAGAAAACTCAACAGTTTCAAGGCAGCAAACATGCACATGGAAAGGAGACACAGTGGCATGTGTAATAAATGTGCAAGATCCCCAAACCCACATTGTAACGCAGGGGAAATCTTGCAGCTATTTACATCTAGACTTAGAGCTGAGCTCCTATGGTTCAAAGCCATCTGTGCTTGTTAGTAAAAATAAAAGTACTTATTCTTTTTAATTCTTCTTTTTAATGAGACATTTAAGCTGACACTCTGCAAGTCATTTTGTAGATGGGAACATAAAAGGTCTATTTTGTTTTATATTGCACAGATAACAATGTATGTCTCATTTGTCTTTGAAACTTCTGTGTCTCATTAGTCTTTAAAACTAGAGAATTTATGTTGGAGCCAAAAAGCTAAAATGACATGTATAACTCCAGTGAAAGAAGGCAAATTGTCAGCAGTCTACTTCCATTTATACCTTTTAAATTGAAAAATGTATCCATTTAAACCTCTGAGTTGCCTTGATATAAAAATAGGCCAAGCAGGAGAAGAATTATAGCCACTATTTCTATTCATATAAGGTTTTTTTAAAGCAAGCTAAGCTGCTGTCTACTGTTTCTTTGACACAGCAGCATGGTCGACTACCTTGTAGAGCCAGGCAAGAGTTATCTGTAAAGGTCCTCTAAAAACATTTACTTGTTTGAGAAAACTTCTCTGCTTCTTCCCACGGGCAAAACAAAAAGTGAATGGAAAGCAATTTCTTTTTTACTTTCTCTTGGATGTACAAGGTATTTTATGGGAAGAGAAGGTTGCTGACCCTAAGCTAACAGTATTAATAGGCTAAGCGAAGTCACTGATTCTGAAAGAGCTTTGTGGAAAATGATTCCATTTTCTCTTGATGAAGATGTAACTATTGATTAAGTTTGAGTGATTATATGTTGTTACAATTAGATGTGATCTGTGCGCTATAAGATAACCTTTGGAAAAGGGTTCATCATCCAGATGAACAAATGCACCTAGACCCCT